TTGAGACAACAAAATCTGGGTTCAAATCCTTATTCTTTCACTTGCTGGCCATGTGAATTTGGCAAGTTAGATCAATGTTCTTCATCTGCAAATTTAAAAAAGCAAAGCCTGCTTCACAAAGTCTTGAGACAGAAGTACGCCAACAGAACTTGCCTCTCTACAGTAGATATTCAATGCACATGTCCCTTCATCTCTCAGTTTTCTTGGGTCCATAAACTTGATGATTGTGCTTCATTGGATTTAGTCTAGTTAACAAATAATTCAGGTCTTATCCACAGAAACAGGTGAACAGTTATCTCCTCAGCAGTGTTTTCACTCAGTTTGCCTGTTCTGCTCCCCACTCTGTCTCTGGTGAATCCTCTCACCCTTACACCCCCGTTCTTCTACACAATCACACACACAAAAAGTGATGTGACGTGAATGTGAGCAAAGAGATGGGTGAGCCCAAGAGCTGAAAACTAAACATTGGATTTTGAAGATTGTCAAAATTTGCCAGGCATAGAAGAGCAGAAAGCTCTTCCCAGAGAGAAGAAACAGTTTATGAGAAGCTATTAGAAATCTTGCTAGGCCACGGCCTGCTGGAGACCAGGAAGGAGTCAGGTTTACCTGGCAAGTGTGGTGAGTGGGTGGGGATTCAACAAGAGGGGAGCAGTTTTGTTTGCCAGGCTGTGAGCTACAGAATTTGTTCTGTTGACTGTGGGGAGCCAGGGACTTGAGAGAACCAATTACCCCGTACATTGGAGCAAATGATAGTAAGAGAACACAAGCAAACCCCAGCCTTATTCTTAAAAAATGGATTTCTAAAATCCAAATGTTCCAAAAAAGCTTCATATACAAGGCAAATAATAGTCTTTACGAACTTTTCTCAGCATATTCTCATCACCTCTGCACAAGCACATGTGGAGTTCTTCGGTGACCTGCCTGAACTCATATTGCATTCAGATGGCTGCAGCAAAGGCCAATTAATCCTTAAAGAACTACATGGGTACAGGTTGTTTGGGCCACTCTCTTTGAAACAAGGAATGTGTTTGGCTCTGCTACAGGACGGCGGGAGCACTCTGATAAGGCGGAAAGCCATAGAATCCAGTAGTGGCCTGTTTTTTTGATTTGTGCTTTTTTTCTTAGAACAGTTGGTTTTGACAGCTCGTTGGCGCCACCTAGTGGTGGAGTGATAGAATACAGTTTAACGGTCTGCAGACTTTTCAAGGATCATAAATTTTCTCAAGTTTCTGATCTAGTTCAACCATTCTGTCCCTATGTGAATACTAAAAGCAGCCCAGTCAGCAGTTTTTCTCTGCATTTTGAGGCTGCAGAATATGGTGAGGAAAACACTAGTCCTGGTTTTTCATAGACTAACTCCATGGCTTTGGAAAAGACCCGTGTCTTCTCTCAAACTGTTCTCCAGAAACAGGTGTTTGTTTTAACGCTTTCATATTGTAAGTGTCCATAGTCTTTTAGTGACATGATTGTTTTAGTATTTATCCATATCACTTGTAATTAAAATTGGCATAAGTCTGGGTAAAGAGGATAATGTCTCTTGGCATTTTGAAAATTCCTGAATGACTACAACCATCTATAGTTATGTCAATTAATATATAATATATAAAATACCCATCAATGAATGACTGGATAAAGAAGTAATGGTGTATACTCAATCTAATACTTCTCAGCTGTTTAAAGAAAGGATGAAACCTTGCTTTTAGCAATAGGATTGAACTTGAGGTAATTATTCTAAGTAGAAACAAGTCAGAAAGTGAAAGAAAATTGCTGGATGGTTTCTAGTGCTTATTTGTGGAATACACAAGTATCCAAAGCAAATGAACTAACAAATCACAACAAAAATAACTCAGACGCTGGAAAGTATGGCGGTAACTTGAAGGGGGGTGGGGGAGAAGGTGGGATGAAAGAGCAGATGGGGTCAATCTGATCATGAGAATGGTGGTAGAATTTGGGTGGTGGGTATGGTAAGGCTAACATACATGCTGAGGAATGAAGCTGTACTCCTGAAATTTATACAGTATGGTGATCCAATGGTAGATCAATTTAATTTTATTTTTAAAAAGGAATGACTGCAACCATGCACAGTTACTATGTAAAATTAACTAATATAGATGTCAGTGTTATCTGCAAGTAAAGTCATGAAAATCTCTCAGAGGCTTTAAACCCCATTTGCATGGAGCAGTGGAAAATGCAGGTCTCTGCACTCAAACAGACCTGTGTGTAAATTCTACCCCTGTCACTTTCCATGTGACTTTGATAAGTTATTCCCTGTCTCATAAGTCCAATAAACTCATGAGTTCCACATGACAGATACTCTTAAATGACAGATATCTGCTTCATTGAAAGGAACAAGAGAAACAAAAATTCAAGAGGGACTTGTATTAGATATGGAGAGACTCCTAATGATTTGTATTGCTCTGTCAGAATGTATCCCATTGATAAGTGACACATGACTGTAAGTGGTCATTTATTTCTTCAACATGTCTATGTATAGTGGCCTATATTTAATATTACTCTAGAGGGCAAAGGTCCCTAGACTCTGCCATGTATGTTCCGTTCTGTCTTCAACCAACACAGTTTGGTTTCCTAAAAGATTCTCTGTGCACCTGGGCACTCCCTTCTCACACTTCTTTTACTCACACGCATCCTGTAGGCCAGGGAGACCCAGGGTCAGTGTGTGAGAGATGTAGCAGCTGGAATCAAGCAGTTCATTCATCTAATTCAAACGACATTAAATTTATCCTCCCAGATGCTGCATGGCGAGGGTTCGTTACCAGCTTGCTATCCCAGACATTCTTAGAGATGAAAGAGGAGCTGCTTTCCTGACCAGGCACAGTGCCAGAGGTGGGGGAATCCGAGATGAAAGCAGACATAGTGACTGAGCAAGTATTATTTTTTTCCTGACACTCAGTAGCTCACCATCTAGCAGGACCGACAGACATGCCCATAGGCCATGCACACAGCCAGATGTGCAAACCAGCTCATTGCCTACCAGACTCCAGGTGCGCACAGGTAGAGGGTGTGTGAAAGTTATCTTGCTTGAGTTGGGATAATGAATGGCAATTAGCCAAGTAGAGGGTGGAGTGTGCTAGGAGCCGACCACAGGCAAGGGCCTCAGCCTGTGCAGCCTAGAAGATGAGAAAGGATGGCACAGCTGGGCAAAAGCAAGACAGCTAATGTAGGTGCACAAAAGGCCAGGTGGCTGCCTGTCAGACACAGTGGGACATTATTCATTTCCATTAAGAAATGTCCTCCCCTGGGTTTAGGCCAATATGTTTGAAAAACTATAAAAAGCTCCTATTGAAAAAAAATTTAGCATTTTATCTCTCTATCAATATTTCTGTGTTATTGATTGCAAGGTTTATCATGCCTGCTCCAGTGGGATAAGCAGAGATTGTAATAGGTAGGATGGCCAATCCTTGCTTTACCTGAGGCAAAAATGATGACAAATTTAGTTGCAACACATTCCTGGAACATGGTACCCAGAAATAAGCAGACCCCAAACACTGATAAGGTTGTCATGAGGAACTACATTCCGATCTCAAATTTGTTTCTGCTAAGAAGGGTGGATTTGAATTCTGTAGGCACCCAGCTTTCATTTTCACTTGCACCTTCTTTTACTGAGGTGTTCTGAAAGATGCCAGGAGATACTGACCCAGCAAAAATTACATTGCTAAAATATCATGAACCGTCTGTGCTCTGCTTATGATTTCAATGCAAATAACACGATCAGTGTTTTCTTTAGAGTATACATTAGTAGGAAAATATCAAATAACCATTTTTTAAAAGTCCTCCCACGCCCATTTCTTGATTTATCCCCACTTATGCTATCCTTCATTTTCTCATCTTTGATTAAAACTTAGAAAGAAACTGTTCTTCATGTAATCCATACAGACATTGATTTACAATGATGCATACCTTAAACACGTATGATGTTATAATGCAGTGTCACTTCAATAAAAGAATTTTAATAAATATAAAAAATTTAATTAGTGAAAGATAAGGAGTGATGGGGACTGGGGCAAACTGGAGGGCATAGTATCCATTTTAACAAGCCTGCCATTTTTTTTAACTCCAGCTGCCAGTGGCTCCATTTCTTGCAAATATAAAAAGAAAAGGCAAGCAACTTGGACTTTCTGGGCACGTTATCCAAGTTTTTTAAACATTGCTTTGGTTAACAAAAACAAAATGCAAGGGGCCTCCCAGGTGGCGCAGCAGTTGAGCGCTGGGTTGTGAAGCTGCCCGCGGCCTCTGCAGCACTGGTTCCATCTCTGGCTGCTCCCCGGCCACCGGAGGAGGGTCCCACATGGCGCGCAGACCTCTCCTGCCGCCCGCTGCTCCCCTCAGCAGTGTACTTCCGTCCTTCTGCCTGCTCTGCTCCCTGCTCTGTCTCTGGTGAATTCTCTCACCCTCCCGTGCTTCTGACTGTACCCAGTGTTTGTATAAACAAAAAGCAAACTAATAAATAAATAAATAAATAAATAAATAAATAAATAAATAAAACATGCCTCTATTAAAAAAAAAAAAAAACTATTAAAAAAAATGCAGGGTCCTCCCTGGTGGCCTAGGCCTTAACTCTTAGTGCCATCACCCACCCTGAAGGCCTGAGTTTGATCCCTGCCAGGGAGCTAACCCCCATATGGCATAACAGACCTCTCCTGTCTCTCCTGCTGCTCCCCTCAGCAGTGTATTTCAGTAAATAATCTGCCTGTTCTGCTCCCCACTCTGTCTCTAGTGAATCCTCTCTCTCTCACACACACCCCCGCATTTCTGGCCTACACCCCAGTTCTTCTATGCAAAAATAAATAATAAAATATTTAAAAAAAAATCTTGCAGACCAAATGGAGTCCGTGGGCTTACTAAATTTTACCCTTAGGCCATGCTTGTACCCCCTTGGTTAAAGGCTGCCAAGATCCCCCAGGGTACTTTCAGGATCTATCAAGGTGTTGTCCCTTAGCTTATAGCTTCTCCTAACTATTCTTCTCCCTCTTGCTTTCCAGAAAGAGATGACCAGCAGGATGTGTCACTAACATCCCATCTTACTCTTTGGAAGAAAGAGGAAGGCCGATTCCTCCTGGAATCCCCAGCTGAGCTCAGCAGGAGGGAACCTTCCTTGTGAAATGGCGCCCCTCCTTCCAGAAGCAGGTGGATACAAGCAGTGACTCTTGAGAGACCTTCCCCACTCACTTCATGTGCTCTTCCCCTCTGAGTGCTGCTAGCCGCGACTTGTGGCCTGGCTGACTCCGGCGTGAAAGAAGAACGCCCCTGAACCCCCTCCCGGCTCAGGGGCAGCCTCGGCACTTAGTGTGGGGGTGCAGTTCTGCCTGAGACCCGCCGCCCAAGCTTTACTGGAATTTGGTTTCGAGACTGAGATGCTTACCTGGCTTGTCAGCTGGCCCGCTTTTCCCAATCTGTTCTCCAAGCACCGAGTGAATTTTGGAACTCTGGGTGCGCACCATGTTCTTCTATAACAAGCTTCCTTTCAGGTGCCTGAAAGCTCCTGCCCAGCTCTAAGGTCTAACCCGGTGAAGGGCTGTGGAGCCTGAGACACCTGAGTCCGCTACCTGCAGCATTAACACTATTTCCCTAAAAGGCGGTTTTATCAGGGACCACTCCATGGGGTGGCTTGTCGACACCCCAAACAGGGTCTATATACTTTAACTCCAGGGAAGAGACTGGTTGCCGGTTGAGGGTTACCAGTTCACCCTGCACAGAATGTGTTGGGGTTTTTTTTTTTATAACCACCCTCATTCCTGTCTCTTCCATCCAAGATATTGTTGTCCTATTTTCCAGAAGACAGATGACCAAGAATGATCAGCAGAAACCCTGAGCCAGATTAGTGCAGTGTTTGTTCTTTGATAAACAGAAAGGAGTGTAGCTGTCTGCAAAACACTCAACTTTCCTTGGAAAAGCAACAGTACAGTTGGCTGCTTGGTGTCTGGAGCTCAGACACCCAGCCCACTGACTTGTCGCTTTCCCAGCTGGCCCTCCAGCTTCCGAATCCTGTCGATGATGTCTTCCCCTTTCTCCATACTCTCTCTTCTTCTGCCATATTAGATTATGGCACAAAACTAATTTCTGCCTCTGTGATTGTGCTGCAGTTGCCAAGGTATCCGTAGAGCCAGAGCTAACTTCCTCCTTCCATCCTTCCCGATGTTTCTATACCAGTAGACAGAAAAATGCATTCTGTGCTGCCTTTTGAAACCTAAGTGAGCTTTAGTTGATGAAATGTTGCCTTCTCTGATTCGTCCACAAAACGGGTGGTCCTGAGAACCCATGGCTAGGGGGTGAGGATACTTCCAGCAATCGCTCAAATTTGATAAAATTGGTGGAGGGAAGTAGCTAAGAATGTATTAGTGCATTTTAATGGAATAGCAATTAAAGAATAACTCGTGACTCTGATTTTGTCTTATTATACGTAATGTGTTAAGGCCATTTGTGGCTGCCAAAGAGCCTAGAAGCATGAAATCTTTCTTCTTCCAATCTGAGAAAGGCTGACCTCTGGGCCCTGTGATTCCAGCAGTCACCTAACCCAGTGGTTGGCCCTTGCTTCCTGTCTGATAAACGTAGTCTCATGGAATCCGAATGCTGCTACCTCTCCTTATTGTTGTGCTCTGGTCAACAACACACAAACTATTTTTGTTCCTTCTTTTTTCCAAGCATCTTCGAGAGGATGAACTAGGCAGAGATTTTTCTCATTATCCCTTTTGGCTGAGGGAATATCTAACTGTTCTAAGGACCCAAAGAACAGAGAAATAAGAATCCCTGTTCCAGACGTGTGCACCGTGCAGTAAGTCCATGTGGGAATGTTGAATGTGGGACAGAGAAGTTACGCTTGGGGCCCATTGTCCTAGAGGAGCTCCGCAGCTCTGCACGGTGGAAATGTTTTTGCACTAAAGAGTTGACTATGCTCCTGCATTTCAGTACTGCCTAGTCAAGTAGGATGCTAGACTCTGAAGGCATTTGTTATTAATTCTTTTTATGGTTATTTTCTATTAGCTGATTGTGCATAAGAAATTTCCACTGGGGAGTAGGAGGGAGGAGGGAAAAAAAAAGAAATTTCCACACAATTCAAAAATCCAAATATTTTGTAGACTTCTTGGAACACATTCTTCTTGGTTATTTTGCTAATTGCACTAATCAACTCTGCTAGGACAGGGTCTGGCAAGCCACTCTTTTTAAATTACAGAATGTTCCTATTCCCACAGAACTTTGTTTGGCAAATTCTGAAGAAAATCATCACAGGCGATTTTGATCTATTTGATCCCAATACATAGAAAGTATGTCTCTTTGCCAATGGGGAATCTGAGCTCCTGGCACCCCCGCAGGCATCTCTGATTCTCAGAGTAATACCTGCTTCTTTCTCCTAACCTGGCTGGTTTACCTCCTTCATTGTTTTTACTATTTTTCTTTATTTTGAGAAAATTTAAAGGAGCAATCACAAAAACAAAAGATTACAATGAATACCCACATCCCCTTCACTTAGGCACATCAATGTTAACATACTTTTATTAACAACTTGTTAACATTTTCCGTATTTTTCTCTCTTATAAATACACATTCTTATGGCCGAACCATTTCAAAGTATCTTTCAGACATTGTAAAACTTTAAAATATTTTGTCAATGTTCCCCAAAATGTTTATATTTCTTTATTAATCCAGGATTCGGTCAAGAATCACACATTGTATTGAGTTGTCTTTCTCTGTAGTTAATGGCTTAGAGTTCTCTCTCTCTCTCTCTCTCTCTCTCTCTCTCTCTCTCTCTCTCTCTCTCTCTCTCTCTTTTCTCGTGTGTGTGTGTGTGTGTGTGTGTGTGTGTGTGTATTTTATAGTACTAACATTATCAGAGAGCTCATGCTGGTTAGTGTGTTGAATGTACCCCAACCTGGAATTCTTTCCTCATTATTAGATTTAGGTTGAAACTTTTTCTAGCAAGAATACTATATAAGTCATGTTGTTTCTTTCCTCCTATACCATGCCAGGAAGCACATAAATTAGGTCCTCTTTTTTATGATATTATACCTAATCGAGGGTTCAAGTCTTGTCCACCTAATCCATTCTTTAAGTGTTCACAATCCTTATGAAGCTCTGATATCCAAGATACTTACAGTTTATAGTGTGAGGCTGTGTGCACTGTGGGGAACATTCCTTTCTTAATATTCTCAGAGAGGTCCAGGATTTCCAAAAGATTGCAGCCATTGTGGTGAGAAGATGAAACAGTGGTACAGGATTCACATGTTGACATATAACAGAAGGAAGGGAAACCAAGAAGCATATACAAGTAGTATATCTAGTGGGGATCCGTATGATCCCTGTGGCCTGAGCTGAATTATTGAGCCGCCATCCTCAGGCGACTCCCATGCACACCACGGCTTACTTTAGAGAGTGTATCCATGGTGAAGCACATTGCCCAAGGGTTAAAAGTTGGTTGGTGAGTAGTACATTGTGTCTCTGGCCCTTCAAAGGACCACAGAACATAACCGTATATGAATTTGTTTAAAATTTTATTGAGCTGGGGGATGGTTAGTAGTAAAATATCTGAAAAGCTCCTTTGGGGGATAATTACCCCAATCAGAAAGATTATCAAGAGTCAGTTTCTGCATCTTAGGTTGTTAATATTCTCTTCCTGGAGTGTTTCTCATTCTGATGAATAGAAGCAACTCTGAGAGACTGCTTAATCCATTTCTTCTATCCTCCCAAGCCTTATGAGTAATATTCTAGGTGAAAGACCTATGTTTCTCTCAAGGATCTTCAAGCATAGAAATTCTACAGGATCCTTTAGTAGAATTCACTGAACACTTTACAACATCTGAAATCCTTCTATTTAACTTGAGCCAAACTATTATCTTTGAGTTTCAGCATGCCTTTTCTAGTATCCCACATTAAGAAAATCACAAAGATGGGTCTCCCTGGTGGCGCAAGGGGTTAAGACACAGCCTGTGAAGCTATCCGGACCCTCTACAGCGTGAGTTAGATCCCCAGCCAGCCAGGGAGCTACCCACATGGCGCGGCAGACCTCTCCTGTCTTGCCTGCTGCTCCCCTCAGCAGTGTACCTTGGTCAATCTGCCTGCTCTGTTCCCCGCTCTGTTTCTGGTGAATCCTCTTACCCCCCCACACCTCTGGCCTGTACTCCAGCTCTTGTATGCATAAATAAATAAATACTAAAAAAAAAATCACAAAGACCATACAGGATAAGTAAAAACATAAGCAAAATGAGAGATTTATTTGCATATACATTAAATATTTGCATATACATTAAATCATTTGAAAACTGTCTTTCAGTCTTTTTTTCCTTTAGAGCTCTCCCATTGGCAGAATTCTCTTTGGAGTCTTGTCACCCTATAGCTCATGCTTCTGAAGGCTCATGTGAAACCTCCCCAAAGCCATCCCCACCCCTGTCTATGTGCATTCTGGATGTGACATAAATGAACATGAACAGAAATTATCACATGCTTTCTCCAGGCTGTACTTGGAGTCTTTGATAAGTTCTTTTTTCTTTTATTTATTTTTTTTTGCATAGAAGAACTGGGGTTTGGCCAGAAGTATTGGGGTGAGAGGATTCACCAGAGACAGAATGGAGAACAGAATAGGCAGATGTACTGAAATACACTGCTAAGGGGAGCTGCAGATGAGAAAGGAGAGGTCTGCTGCACCATGTGTGGGTTAGCTCTCTGGCTGGGGATCAAACTCAGGCCTCAGTAGTAATAGTACTGAGACTTAACCCCTAGGCCACCAGGGAGGCCCCGCTTGACTAAGTTCTGACTTGCTTTTTATATTTTATGCATTTTTAGTTTGTCTTTGCCCATACTATATCCTCACCTAGATTATATTCAGTCATTTTGATTTATCTTCCTAAGTTTCTTTTCCTCCTACCTTTAACATTCCTCATAAGATTATCTTGTTTTATTTTAATCACCTCTTTAATTGGCAAATCATTGAGGGACTAGGATAGAGTTCCTGTCATCTTTTTGTAGTGATTTATGCCAGGCCAACATTCTGATCATTGATGGAAGCAAATCACTTCCTATGATTTCTAACCTTGTTTATCACTTCCACACCTCAGGGGTATCACGCTGCGAGAAAAAGTAATATGGTAGGAAAATTGTGGCCATATTTTCACAAAATCTGTAGAAAGGCAGAGTCACTAATGGAAGTTGATCTGTCACTTGGGTAATTCTGTTATCCTTTGTGCTTTGATTATTTTGCTCCTTGATTAAATAGATGCTCCTTGATTAAATAGATGATTCTCTCCTAGAATTAGCCAAACAAAGTGTGTTTTAGAAATAATGTTGTTTTTTTTTTCCTATTCTAAAACATATCAACACAAAACTTTTTTTTTCACAGGCTGTGTCCCTCTAGGCAGTTATTCATGCTGGGTAAGAAGTTTTCAATGAGCAAATAAGGATTGCTATAACTTCCAGAGTAAAGAGTCCATTTCTAATTTGACAAGCTGTTTACTACTTTTAGAGTGTTCTAATTTGCAACTGTTTCAATATCTTTTCTAATTGCATCAGAAAAAATATTTACATATCTTTAGTTCCATTTGTGATTGAATAAAGGGTTTGACTATGAGCAGATTAACACAATTAGAAAAGGATATTTATGAAATCAGTTCTATGTGAGCTTAGGAATTCAAATGATACAAATAAAAGACATAATCACCATCTATTCTGTCTGTTTTCGTGTCCTGATTTTTTTTAACAAACATGTGCTTTATCCTGCAGTGGTTCTAAAATAGGTACATGAAAAAGGAGACTTAATTCTACAAAAACTAATTCAGAATTTTTTTGAGAACATACATACATCTATTTGATTTTAGTAGTCCTTTAATCCTATTACAGAATTCCCCAGGGGGTATCATGTGTATAACAGCTTTCCAGCAGATTCATGTTTTGCAGATTTTTTCCTTTTTTTTTAAGATTTTTTTTTTTTGAGATTTATTTATTAATTTATACAAGCACTGGGTACAGTCAGAAACATGGGAGAGTGAAAAAAAAAAAAAAAAAAGAAGCATGAGAGAGTGAGAAGATTCACCAGAGCCAGAGTGGGGAACAGAACAGGCAGAGTGACAAAATACACTGCTGAGGGGAGCAGCAGGCACGGCAGGAGTCTGTCGTGCCATGTGGGACCCTCGCCGGCGGCCGGGGATCGATCTGGCGCTGCAGAGGCTGCAGCAGCTTCACAACCCAGCGCTCAACTGCTGCACACCAGGGGAGGCCCTGCAGATTTTTTCTTATAGTAGGATTCAATATGAAGTAGGATAATCTGACATGTGATATAATAAACCTAGACTATTTTATTTATTGATGCATCTCAAGCACCTACAGAAGAGTGATGCATAGTAGCTGTTCATTTAACCTTTGATGAAGGAATGAATTCACATGGCAGGTAGTTGCCTAACTAAGGTTTGCTATCACAGAGAGATTCATTGAAAGCAATATCTAATTATGATAATATTAATTTGATGATACACCAAAAGCATACATGCAGGAGTGTATACTATAGACTATTACAGGCTATTTTTACATGAATAACCTCATTTTTTTAATGCCCCATAACCCTGTGACGTTGGTTACCTAAATAAATTGCTCAAAGTCATAAGAAAGAAAATAATAGTGTCAGGGTTTAATACTACACAGTATGCCCTGGCATTCACACTCTCAACTGTGAGAATCACCTTCACCCACTGGACACTGACTGCCTCTCAGAGCATTTCTCTCTCTGTGCACGTGGCTCCATGCAGTGTAGCAATTCCTCCTTCAGGGTCATTTGCTAACGTGGTTGTGTTAGAGCTTATGATCAGGCCATCTGAGATGGAAAAAGTATTTGTATTCACAAGATGTGCATTCCTTTTTTAAAATTTATTTTATTTGTGCATGTAATAACTGGGGTGTAGGACGGGGGGAGGGGGTGGTGAGAGGATTCACCAGAGACAGAGTGGGGAGCAGAACAAATGAATCTACTGAAATACGCTGCTGAGGGGAGCAGTAGTTGAGACAGGAGAGGTCTGCAGCACCATGTGGGTCAACTCCCTCGCCAGGGATGGAACTCATGCAGCAGCAGTTGGAGATAGCCTGATAGAGATGAGACTCCTGCACCACCAGGGTGGCCCAAGATGTGCATTCTTGAATAGAAAATGAGCCCTGAGTCAGAGAGCAGATGGGTCAACAGATCTAACAGAGACATCAGGAAGGTGAGATTGGTAGTTCTGTGCATGCTGAGTGGTCTGAGTGTAAGGCCAGAGGCCAAGGTGGAGCTCTGAGTGGGCTGGGCACAGGCAGGCAATCTGGAAGCCCAGGAGAAAACACCCAGGTGTGACCAAGTGTGGGCTTATCGTCAATTGAAAGGGTGCTAAGACATTTCCAGGTCTTTCTCCTTGTGAAATGTTAGGGGCATGCATTTTATCCTTTTAGGAAAATAAGCAGACCTTTAAGCATTAATAAAAACATCCAAAGCCAAAGATCTTAGCTTTAAAAAGTGGGAAAAACTACCATAGTTAACTTTTGCTAATTTTTCCTTTCTTCCTAGAGAAATAACTAGCAGTCATTTATCAGCCATAATATAAAATATGTGGGCACATGAGTAACTGGAAATGTGCAGCTGAGGTGCTAATGTAACATGCAGCTGTGACAACTGTTAATGTATATATTCCAGAAACTAAATTTAGAAATGAGTAGGAACTACATTATGTTTTTGTTTTTGTTTTTTTAAGATTTATTTATTTATTTATTTATACAAGCACTGGGTACAGTCAGAAGAGCGGGAGGGTGAGAGAATTCACCAGAGCCAGAGTGGGGAACAGAACAGGCCAACTGACAAAATACACTGCTGAGGGGAGCAGCAGGTGCCGCAGGAGAGGTCTGTCGCACCATGTGGGACCCTCTCCTGCGGCCAGGGATCTAATGGGCGCTGCAGAGGCTGCAGGCAGCTTTGCAGCCCAGCACTCAACCGCTGCGCCACCAGGGAGACCCTACATTATGTTTTAAAAGCAGCTCCCATTCCCACCACCTGAATTGTACAGCTTCCTTTGAGGTTACTAAGAGCTATGCAGACCATAAGTGTTCTTCGGTTCTTGGTTCATTGGGAGATCTTTAAGATGTCAAGACATAATTTAGTGCCATGTTTTGAGGTTGGGTGAAATACATATGCTGTGATGAAATGAAAGACTTTACCTTCCGAATTCCAGGGTTTCATAGATATTGTCCATGAAACGTTTCAACTACAGAATATAAAAGGAGGCAGCCTTTGTAATGGGACAAGCCAGTGTGTGCGTGTGTGTTGGGGGGGGTGCGTTTTAATAGTAAATCATTCGATTCAGCAACAACTGAACCACAGAAGTTAAAGAAATTTTGTTCAAAAAGCAAGCCCCATTTTATACTTGCAGGAACAATTTTGAGCACACTTCCAGCCTTATCATGAGAGTTCTGAGGTTATGCAGATAACACATTAAGTGCTGATATTAAGTACTGGCAAGGCAATCTCTGGACTTTGAATTCCATAAACCCCATGAGCTTATGGGTTTGACCTATAAGAAAAAAATCTTAAATCTAGAAATTTGCTAAGAGCTGTAAGCTGGTTACAGCCACACTGTCTGGTGGCACTCAGAAGAAAGATGGTGCTGTCGTGGGGCTCGTAATCTTTAATTGGAATTCATATTATCTCTCCTAAGTGACTTCAGACAGACTTCTGTGGAACTTGGACAGAGAAATATGGACAAAATGGTACTCAAGGCCTTCACCCATTGCCAAGAGAAAGGGAAGACATACAAGAGCTGAGGTGACATACAAGAGACATACAAGGCCAGAGATGCAGTGGTGTGGGGGTGAGAGACAGAGTGGGGAACAGAACAGGCAGACTGACTGAAATACACTGCTGAGGGGAGAAGCGGGGTGAGTCGGGAGAGGTCTGCTGCATCATATGGGTTGCTCCCTGGCCGGCCAGGGATCAAACTCGTTCTGTAGAGGCTGCAGATTGCTTCATAATGTGGTGCTTAACCCCTTACGCCACCAGGAAGGCCCAAACAAGGTGATTTTTACATGATCCTCTGCTGTTCCTAGACACCTCATTACTGTACTGGGAGGGACAAGGAATAGAGCAGACAGGAGTTGAGCGCTCTAAGAAGGCATTTTAGGGGAAAGAATGTCTGGGAATTGATTTACTGAGAATCAACTTTGTGCCAAGCCCTATTCTTGGTACTTGATACTTGGTACTTGACGCATCTTCTCCCATCCCATCCCACAAGCACTCACTGGGAGAAGCATTGGTAACAGGACCGTTCTGTCATCTGGTGCAGAAGTGGAGACAATAGAGGTTGCACAGGCAAGCTCACTCAGGCACATTCCCTGACTCTTGTGTGGTGCCACGCATCATGCCAAACCCTCGGCTTGGATCATCTGAATTACTCCTCACCCCAGCCCCTTGAAATCGATGTCACTGTTGTTATTCCCATTCTCTGGATGAAGAAACTGAAGTTGAAGAGCAAGGCTCATTCAAGATCACGAAGCTGGTTAGTGGGGGAGCTCAGCTGTACCACTGGGGAGGCCCTCTGAGAAGCTTTTAACTGATATTTTGATTGTAGTTATCAGAAGGAACATAAAATAATCATAATGCTTTGAAAACATTTTATTATCAATACTAATGATTTTTTTAAAAAAAATATGTTGGAGTAAGGAGAAAACCCTGAGGCTGTGAATGACGTGCTGAATTAACTCCATCCCCTGACGTTTTTATAGACTCCATCCCAGCGCCACGCTGAAGAGATCTTGGGTGCCAAGGACTACAACTCCCAGCATGTGGCACAACTGACTTCCTGAATGGGGTAGGATAATCTACTGGGCACTAGGCTTGATAATTTACTAGTCAAGCCATGCTTGACTTACAACTGCACTCACACAGGCTCACAGATTCATAGACCAGCAATTCATATTATTTCATGAAAAGATTCTATTTCATTTTCAAAGAAAATCTTATAACAGTATATTTTTGGATGATACAGTACTAAAAATTAAACGCACATCAGACTGAGTCACAAAGCTTTGGAAATTCCTCCCCAGCATTCTGACCTCCATTTGGCAGTGATGTCATAATGTCCCGACTAGTTATAGGACTTGGGCAATAGAAAGAAATCTTTGAGGAGACACTGTAGATTACCTGATAAAAGGATCATTTTCCCGATGAATTTTATATTGTTTATTTTTTTATCTGGGGTTTTTTCCTCATACACTAGTGATTTGCAACCCCCTGACGAAGGTGAGTAAGCACTTAAAACTTTCACAGAAAAAGCAGATAAAAAAGATGATCCTTTGTTCTAGAAAATTGGTATGTATCAATTTTCTACAGAATGATATAAAATTTAATGTTGATAGAATTGAGATTTTAAATCTCTGCCTCAAACTCTTTGTGGAAAATGGTGCACCTAGAAAAAAGAAAGTAGTGAAAAAAACCAACATATTTCTGATCTGTGGTTATGTCACACATTTTTTTTAGAAGGTGATGTGTTACCCGTGATACCTGAAGAGCATCAAGATGAACAACAACAGCAACATAACTTGCCTAAAGAAGAAGAGACAGACTTACAGAGCCATCCAAATGAAGACATTCCTAGGAAAGACTCCCAACTCCATCCAAATGAAGAATTGCCCAATAAAGACTCCGAAGTCCAGCCAAATGAAAACTATTTTAAAGATGTAAATGAACAACCACAAGGCAAGAAAGAAGGGCATTTAGGAGTACATAAAGAGGATGCAGGAAATGAGGATAATACTCGTGCCAATGAGAAAACTGGCAATTATTATAAAGATATAAGACAATGTAAGTCTTTGAAGTTAATGACACTACATATACACAAGTTGATTAGAGCAGTTTGCTTTAGCTCTTTACAAAACTCCATCATTTTATGTCCTATGAAATTCGAACATACCTCACAGTCATTTGAGTATTTAAATAAAATTCTTTCCTTTGACTTTTTTTCATGAGATGTTATGAAGTTAAACAAGATTCTCTTGGTAATTGTTTTTAAATAGGGTTCATGGTGATATTGTTATTTATTCACATTAGGAACAATTGACCTAATTCCATGGTAATTTAACCAAAATTAAATAAAGGTATCAGTTTCCTAGGACTGCTTAAAAAAGCTACCACAAACTGGGTGGCTCAAAACAACAGAAATTTATCCTCTCACAGTTCCATTCATTAGAAATCCAAAACTGCAGTTCTGGCCACGCCATGCTCTCCAAAGCTTCTAGAGGGTCTTTCCTCACCTCTGTCAGCTCCTGGTAGCCCCAGGAACACCTTGTCTTATAGCAGCAGGACTTCAATCTCTGCCTGTCTTCCTGTGGCATTCATCCTGCATCTCTCTGTCCAAATTCCTCTTTCACCATAAGGACAACAGTCCTATCAAATTGGGAGTCCACCCTACTCCATCTTAACTAATTACATATTTATTGACACTATTTTTAAATTAAGTTACATTTTGAGGTACTAGGGGCTTCAACATACCTGTTTGGGGGTGCAGGTGACAAAACTCATCTCATAATAAGATGACTTTTGGGATGCTTGGAAGGTCTGTTAAAATTTAGTTTATTCATTCCTCATACGTCTTTCTTTCCATGTGCTTATAAAGCCCACTGTTCTAAATACTGAAACCCTCAAAAAAAATTCTTGTTAAAATTTTTTTAAATTAAGAGTAGGGTCTCCCTGGTGGTGCAGGCGGTTGAGTGCCACAGTGTGAAGCTGTCCTCAGCCTCTGCAGCATGGGTTCAATCTCAGCCAGCCAGCGAGACCGCTCCTGTCTCGCCCACTACTTCCCTCAGCAGTGTATTTCTTCAGTCTGCCTGTTCTGTTCCCTGTTCTGTCTCTGGTGAATCCTCTCACCCTCCCACACATCTGGCCTGTACCCCGGTTCTTATATAAAAATAAATAAATCTTGGGCCTCCCCTGGTGGCGCAGTGGTTGAGCGCTGGGTTGCCAGGCTGCCCGCAGCCTCTGCAGCACCAGTTCGATCCCCGGGCACCAGTGAGGGTCCCACCAAAAAAAAAAAAAAAAAAAAAAAAAAACCTTTTAAAAATTAATTGATTGATTGATTGATTAATTAATTAAGAGTAAATCTAACTTCTTTAATAATTATTAACATTAAAAAATAGAACTGCAATCAAGATACATATATGCATAGACCTTAAAATAGATGCAGTTTATACTCAAGCACTTTGCAACTATAATGCATAAGTTGTATTTTATTTTTCTTTGGCAAATCAGTATCCATTTTTTGTAGGTGAAAATAAAACCCTGATGTTCAAATAAGTCAATTGCCAGCTTTCATAGCTACCACAAAGCATGGTCAGGAGTGATTTCTAATATACCCACCACCAAACTGCCTCTGTTGTAGACAAAATAGTGCAATCATGTCCTTTTCAAGCCATAACTCTCCTTTGAATTAATCAGAGGGAAAATAAACCAAGAACCTGGTGATGAGTGATTAAAGGAAAAATAGCTTTCTTGCAAACACATGTAAAAAACATAATAAAAAATGTATTATGACTTGCTTTTCTCTTTTAACAACTCTAGAGCTCTTTTTACATCTACTTCATTACTTTTGTTTTACAGCAGTTTTGTTGTGAGTATCTGGAGGAGGCATCCACTCTGCCGCCATCTTGCCGGAATCCCCATCTACTTCATTCTTTTTAATGGATGCAAAACAATCCATAAAATGATGTTCCATGATTTAGCAACTATCTAATTAAAGAATTCAATTTTGTGCAGTTTTTCACTTGTACATTCTTCTTATACACACTTGGGTGTATCTCTCTTTGGATAAATACCAAATATTGGAATTGCTAAATGCAGGATTAATCTTTTAAAATATTGATAGTGATCACCAAATTGCCCTCCAAAAAGTATCCACCAATTTACATCCTCTGAGATGTGCCACAAACTCACAATGAACATTGTTAAATCATATTTTGGGGATGAGTGAGAAATTTTCATAACTATTTTAATTGTACTTTGATTATGTTTGTCTCGGTATTTATTGGGCATCTTTATTTCTACTTCTGTAATTTGCTGTTTATATCTTTGACCAATTTTTCTATTAGTTTATATTTTCCTTTATTTGTAGGGTCTCTTTTCATACTTAGTATAATAGTTTTTTTCACAATGGTAAAGTAACAAATATTTTCTCCCAGATTGTTACTGGTTACTTTAAACTTATTTATTTATCTTAATCACAGAGAAAAGTTTAAGTTTTATCAAGTCAATCTTTGTAATTTATTTTGTAAATGCTGCTTTTTTGTTTCTTGCTCAGATGACCTTTCTCCAATGCAATATATTAAATTATTTCTTCATTTTTAAATAATCTTATGTTTTTGTTTTAACATCTTAGGTCTTAAATCCAAATATTTTTGCATATGGCATAAAATAGGTGTAAAGATATACTTTTCAAGGAGGATTCAAAGATATGAAATTCACATTTAATGTAGTCTAAATTATCATTTGAAATTAGGTCAATTGCTACCTTTTGTTTTTCTGATCTGTCTGTCCTTGCAAAAACACCAGTGTTTATATTCTTATACTTTCATACAACGTGAATGTTGGGTTGTGATTTCCTTTTGTTTTATTTCTCCATAGAACTAGCTCAGAAATTCCTAAAAAAAAATAATGACATATTAGGGGCACTGTGTGTGTGTGTGTGTGTGTGTGTGTGTGTGTGTATGCATGTTGGGAGTAATGAATATATTTGTATGTCTTAAACATTTACATTCATGTATGTGTAAAACTTACATCGTTTCATGTGATTTTGGGGTGGAGTGTATGTATATATATATGTTTAGTCTGCCATCTTGATCCAATTTACTTTGACTCTGGCTGGGTGGATATGTGCAGTAGTTGTGAATTGCAACCAAACTCACAACTTCTAGGGTAGATCTCTATGTACATATGTAAATGTGAATGTGTATGGGAGACCTTGGTTGTCATTGAAGGTATATGCCTCTTATGCTTAAGTGTTCTATAGTCTAACAAGAAGAATCTAGGGCAAATAAATGCTTCTTGTTTGCCTTCTTGATGTTGTTACTACAAACAGTGATCATATCAGACATCTACAAATCTACTTTGGCAACTGTTATGCCTTATATATGTTCTTCCATAATCAAGTATCACAGAGTATAATACTGCTTTGATTTTTTTTCCCCTCATGAACTTTATTTTGGCACTTGTCCTACTTTCTTAGTTTATAGAGGAAGAATGCCTCAAATACATTATAATTATTCTTGGAGAATTAGTGTTTGTGTTTTGAGAAAAAAATCATATGAGGAAAACTGTAAAGGATCAAGTGACTTCGTTAACTGCTGGAAACTTCTGATCTTATGTTTTTAGATATATTCACGACACAAAATCCAAATGGTACTGAGTCTGAAATATCTGTGAGTGCAACAACTGATTTGAAACTTGCTCTAAAAAACTGTAAGTACCAAAAGACACTGTGGCAACTATTCAAAGCCCTTAAAGCAAGATTCCAAGCACTTTAAAGTATCAGATAGGAAAAGGTTTTGGTGGAGCTAATGTCAGAAAGTCATAGTTCCTAAATAAGACTAAACATTTTCCCTGAAAAGCACTGTTTTATGACTCTCAGATCCAACTGAGTTCTGGGTAATCCCCTAGGTTTTTGCTCACGCTTCCTCTGACACAAATATACATGAGACTCCATGGCAATTGGACCAATAGATTCAGAAGGCAAAGAGTTCTCATATTTCTTAGCCTCATAGTTTAGGTTTGCAGGGAAAGAAATGTTAATAACTAAATTTAGCACTCTAGGAAATTGCATGTCTTTCTTAAACCTACACTTTTACTCTTTCTGCTTTATACTTTCAGCTTCAAATGTTGTTCTTTCCTTTTTGCATCTCTCCACCAAGCATAACTATTTGGTAGATAAAGCTGTTGACCTCACGTGACTTTGGTGACCATTGAAATTGTCTCTAAAGTACTTAAAATGTGCCACATTTTTCACTTTGAAGTATATCTATGAAACATGTAAGCCTTGTTCGGAACAGAACAGTATGTCTATGAAACATGTTGCTTGTTCAGAACAGAACAAGGAAATGAGGATGAAAATAAATAGACAGGAAAGAAAGAATGTTTCTTCCTATGGTAATTTGAATTTTGGAGAAAACCAGTTTTAGCAATACCTAATTATTAAAAAAAGTTACATGATAGTCGTGGAATATATTGAGCAATTCCAAATCTAGGGACTTAAATCAGGTAGGCACATTTCAATAGCACATATTAATTAGATAAATCACTCTTGGGAATTTTACTTACACACAGAAAACATGATTTTGAATTGTTTGGGAGAGACTCCAGACAGCCAGCTCTTAGACGAAGTACCTACCTCCAATTTCCTTCAGAGGTGGATTATTGAGAACCCCAGAACATACAGGAGAGAATTCCAAAACCCTAACTCTATTCCCAAAATTCAGGGAACCAGAGGATTGTCAAAAAGTGCTAGTTTGGGACAAGAAATTCTTTCCATTTAAATGGACTCTGGTAGAGGGATACGTGCTGAACAGTGCACACATTCTCAAGGAGCAAGCCTCTCAAGGAGCTGGAAACTTCCGGGAGAATTCTGACTAATGATTCTTTCAAACATAGTCCCAACAATTCTGAGGACAAGGGCAGTAGCTGAGAAAATTCACTGTCCTCCAATATAGAGGATGAGGGCTGCAGAGCAGAGTTTAAGTTTTACATAACAATTGTACAAATCCTGTCCAATCAGTGTCTTCTCCATCCTCTCTTGCCAACAGGATGCCTGGAATGGCACTGCTTGTAGACTCAGTCTGAATTCCTTCTGCCTCTCTGTGGAACTCCTCCTTGAGTGGAATTGTCCATACATTGCTTAGAATTTCACTGACTCCTGTATTAAGCAAAGCTAACTTCATGGGGGGAAAACTCTCCTCCATTCACAATTGTTCCCTAATATACTCTTTGAAATACTTCCTTATGGCCACATTACAGACTGAAATTGATACTAAATCTGGCCCCTTGACTGGCTCAAATCATTATATTCCAAACTCTGTTTTGAGTAGTTAACACACCTACACTTCCAACCTATGAGGATGGTGAGGCTGCCTCCTCTATTTATTGTTGCACGGGGGCAGCAACTAAGCCGGCTGAGACTGATGCTACTTCAAGGCCTACGCAGGGAAGCCCCAAGACCAATGTATCTCACCCCATAGATATTCCTCTACAGGAAGCTGTGGCCCAGTGCTCCCAGCTTTGCTTCATTCCAAATGTAGGCGCCTTAATCCCACCATAGGCAACCTACTGTCCCACGAACTTTAGTCTCCTAATACCTTCTTCATTTCCCTGCCTTCAGTCATTTCAGGTAAATGTCAATGCCTTTCTCTTCAGGTTTTCTTCCTTTCCTGTTTTTTCCATTTTTTAGCTTAATAATATGCCTAATTGCAAATGTTGAGTCAACATTTTTATATGCTGATAATCCATTATCCCTTTTTCTAGATAAACTCGTCAATCAAACTACCGAAAAGCCCGGTGGAGACAGCTCTAAAGAACCCTTTGCAAAACAAAAAAGTATTAAAATTAATACAATGTATTCATTTCTGGAGCATATCATTATATGACTTAAAAATTGGTTTCACTACTGTCAGTATTACATAAAGTAATTGTGTGCTTAAAGAATTTGTACTGCTACAATTTAAAGTCACTCTAAAGTTTTTTTAATTGGTGGAAATGTAAGAGCCATTTCTCAGATATCCATGACAAGGGACAGGAAGTGAGCTTTTTAAAATATAATTTTATTTTAATAAAATATATTTATATCAGATATGTACATATATGGATATATAAATTTATATTCTAATATGTAGCTCATACATTCTAATTTTAAAATAACACAAAAATTTCTACTTACTCAAAGAATAAACTTACCTCCTCAGAGTCAATTATTAGTGTTACCTAAGATGATTGTGGGTGGGCTGTTTGGGAGTGAGAGGTGGTAAAATCTAAATCACCAGTTTACTTTCTTACCAAGAATAATGCTCCTTATAAAACATTTGTGAAATCATAGCAACCCAGGCTGGCTCTACTCTAAGGTCTTGAAGGAGTGGTCTAATTGAAGACAATGCACCTGTTGTTGTATGAAACCCTATATTCTCCAGTTCAGGCAATCCAAGTATGTTCCTATGATTATTCTGAATTCGTTTGTACCTTTAATATGACTAAAAACAAACACCCAAAATTCCTTTTGGATATATTGAAAAATAGAAACCTGATCTTCCTGGTATTCCCTTTCTTGGATAACTTCAGCAACTTACACTTAGGTTCGGAGTTCATGTTTTAACTTCTTAACCAGACCTTCAGGTCTGAAAGGATCTGGCCATGGGAGAACTTTTCCATTGTCATCTCTTCCAGTCACATTCCCCATCCACATTCTTCACTTCAGAACTTCCGAAGCTTCCAGACCCTGCTCGTAACTGAGTTTCCTCACGGCGGAATACGTGTGTTTTGCCTTTTTTGTCTGACAAACAATTTCTCTATCCCTCTAAACCTACCCTGGAGTGTCATCACCTTTGGAAGGGTTTCCAGCTGTTGCAAGTTGGACTAGGTCTATGAGTGCATACCACCTATGCATTTCTACTCATGTTTTCATCATCCTGCAAACATAATCAGTGACTTTGGCCTCCAAAGTTGAGAGTGTGCTCCTTGAGCAAAAGATCTGGGACTTGTTCAATTATATGATTTTAATATCAAACACAGGGCCTGGCACATGGTAAGAGCTCAAGGTAAACTGTTAACTGACTAAACTAATGAATGGATGTTCTTCACAAATCTACTAAAACCAAATTACCTTATTTTGTTATCCTTTTCTATTTTGTTTTTTAAACAGAGCCAACCCTGAGTCAAAATGTGCCTGCATTTTGGACAATGTTAGCGAAAGGTAAACTTACAGTAGTGAGGTAGCTGGGGAAATGTTTTGGTTTTCTAAAGCTTTACGTAAGAAAACCAAGATCATGGCAAATAGTTCTAATATTAGGAATGAATAAGTCAACATTGCTGCCATCGTCACACATGCAAAACAAAAAGCTAGCCAAGTGTCACATATTTTGATTCTCCCCTCAGTATTTTTATTCTCCTATAAATATTGTGATGGATTCATTTAATCTTATGCTTAATAATTTTTAATAAGGCTCTTGTCCAGTCTTGTGCCCCTCAGTATGTGTCTGCACATAAGCAGACAAGATGCATGACTAAATGCAAAGTGTATATCAAAATAAATGCACGCAAAAAGTAACATATATATCATAAATATCTAAAAATACATGTAATATGTGATCATGTGTATACCTGTATACACGTGATGTACCTATCATATGTAGATGCACACATATAAATGTAATTCATGTATCAACGCATATATGCATGCATTATATATGTGAAATATTCACATTTTCAGTTGATTCTCATTAATTGCAGATTCTGTATTTGTAAATTTACTTAAATACTAAAATGTACTTGTAACCCCTCAATTCAACATTTGCAGATTTTCATGGTCATTTGCAGACATGCACAGAGCCAAAAAATGTAACTGACTGACTGCCATCTTCTTTTCTGCTCTCATACAGCAAAAAAAAAAAAAATGTCCTTTTTGTGGTCTACTTAGTGCTACGTGTTTTGTATGTTCATGCTTTATGTGGGTGATTTTGCTGCTTAAATGGCCCCCAAATGTGGCGTTAAAGTCCTGATAAGTGTTCCGATCACAAGAAGGTTGTGATGAGACTTATGGTGAAAATACACGTGTTAGATAAGATTTGTTTAAGGTCTGTGTTACAGGGTTGCTGACCAGGAATTCAATGAATCAGCAATACACACTATAAAGTGTCTTTAAGCAGAAAAACATATAAAACAATGTTATATTTTGATTAGTTGATAAAAATGCTGTGACTGAGACTCACAAGTACCTAATCCTATATTTCCCCTAGAAGGAACTGTTCAGTATTTACCAATTCATTGTTCACAGTGACTTTATAGATCAAAACTGCCATGAACAATGAGATTTTACATATGTGTGTGTATATCATACACACATGCACACACACCAAATAATTTTAGAAAATGGACTTTCTTTACCATAACACCAATTTATTATTTTAACAGTTTTAAATGCAACAGCCACAAAGAATGCAGATGAAAAAGATCAATTCTTTCAACCAATTCCAGGTAAGAACAAAATACTTCAATTAAAGGGATACACAAATACTCACACACATTTTAGATTCTGCACGGTGAGAGTTTTCCCTAGTTAGGTGGAGTGCATATGAGGTGGCAGTGTCAGATCAGAAAGAACATTTACTGTTTAAGGAAAATTTATGGTTCCTAAGCATTGTTCTCCATCTTCCTATTTTGTTAACTCCTATTCCTGAAACAGATAAATCAAATGGAGGACCAGGCAAGTGAATACTATGTAGAAGGTGGTGTTTTAAAATTGAAAGACTATTTTCAGAACAGTTTTATGCTTACAGAAAAAATCTACAGGAAGTAGAGAGAGCTCGCCTCCCTCCCTCTGCTCAGTTTCTCCTTGCATTGGTGTGAGATATTTCTCACAACTTTTGAGCCAGTCTCAATACATTATTAACTAAAGTCTGTAGTTTACATTAAGATCTGCTCGTTGTGTTGTATGATTTTTAAGGTTTTAACAAATGCACAATGTCATGTGTCCACCAATACAGTCATACAGTGTGGTTTCACTGCCCTGAAAGTCTTCTGTGTTCCACCTATCCATCCATCTCTTTCCTCCCAACCCTGATAACTACTGGTTTTTTAATTGTCTCTCTAGGTTTGCCTTTTCCAACTGTCATATAGTTGGAAACATTCACTGTGTAACCTTTTCAGATTGGTTTTACTTAGTAAAATGCAATCACGATTTCTCCAAATCCTTTCACAGCTTGATAGTTTGGAATAATATTGAATTGTATGCATACACCAGTTTCTCTGTCCATTTACTTATTGAACGATTGCTTCCAACATTTTGGCAATTATGAATAAAGCTGCTGTAAACATTCATGCGTAGGTTTTTGTGTGGACATAAGTTCTTAGTTCATTTGGGTAAGTACCAAGGATCCTGGAGTCTATGGTATGACTATGGTTGGCTTTGTGCAAACTGGTCCAACCACTATGCAGAGCTGTGTTAAGATTTCTGGACCTACTAAACATAGAGCTCCCATATGATCCAGCAATTCCACTCCTAGGTATTTACCCAAAGGACACAGACACATCAATTCCAAAGAACACCTGCACCCCTATGTTTATAGCAGCACTGTTTACAATAGCTAAGCTTTGGAAACAACCCAAATGCCCCAAAATAGATGACTGGATCAAGAAGATGTGGTACATATATACCATGGAATATTACTCAGCATTCAAAAAAGATAAACACATGCAATTTACAGCGACATGGATGGTGCTGGAAGGGATCATGCTCAGCGAAATAAGCCAGAAAGAAAAAGAAAAATACCGGATGGTCTCACTCATAGCAGGAATCTAGAAAACTTAAATAAGGGACCAGGAAAATGAATAACTATAAGAAAGTGAAAATCAAAATCAACAAAAAACTATGAACCAGAGACACTCTATGGGGGAGAGGGCGGGAGGGGAGGGACTGGGGTCAAAATAAGGGGGTTGCAATTGTATGGGGAATATAAAAATAAAATTTATTAAAAAAAAAAAGAGGCCACCAAACTGTCTTTCCAACTGGCTACACCATAGGCACTCCCACAGCAATAGAGGCAGTTTTATTAATGGATTAATCATTTTTGAGTGAACCCAGCTCCTCTGGATTGCTGTGGAGCTCGAAGGAGAAAAATTAAAAGTAGCTGGCCACTGGGAGCAGCCTATAATTTTCTCTGAGTTGATGAGAAATACCGGATATGGAAGGCTTTCTTGACAGATGCTTTGCAACCCTTACTCCTCCAGAAAAAATCCTTCTTTGAATGAGATTTCATAGCAAGGTAATATATTAATTTCCCCAAAACCTGTGTCCTATAAATAAACCACTCCTGTAAAAAAAAAAAAAATAGTGTCTGGCAATACATCTGAGGCCTGTCACCTAAGTTCTACATGAAGACATGAACAGTCACTTCGCATTGGGTCAAGAAAATGGAGTGAATATTTGTTTAGAAAAGTTATATATATGAATGAAAAATGCTGGGACACTTGAAAAATATTTTGTCTTTTCAAGTAATTAAGGATTGATTTTTCTATAATGTGTTGTACATATGCTATATGGCTGATACTTTATATATAATTGTGATGTCAGTCCTCACAGTTACTTCATGAAAATGAATTTGGTGTTATCTCCATTTTATAGATAAGGAAACCTAGGCTTAGAGAGATGACTTGCCCAGACTTGCAATTTGTTTTTCCAATCTTCTGGTAGTTAGAATCTCCTGTTCTAGTTTTGACTATCAACTTGATTTTTTTAAAAAGGCGCCAAAACCGCACTGCTTTACAAAAAAATCTTTTAAGGAATTGCAAAGCAATTCAGGAATACAACTCATTTTTGTTTGATTAGTCCCAAAATAATCTGCCTCAAAGACATATCAGCCATTGACAACTGTACACATTTCACTCCACTTGGTCGAAGATTACACTTTGAGAATTACAATTTTTCAACATTAGAGAATATAGACATGGGGGTTTATCATCATTTATTACCAAAGCACCATTACCTAGGAAATCATAGAAACCCTGGGGCCTTTTGAGTGGGAGCAAATTGAGAGAAAGGGGAGCAATAGGAATATGGTCATTTAAGTACATCATTAAGGAAAATACATAATAATCAGGAAAATACACAACTAGGTAGTAAAGCTATATCTTCCTTAACTGATTTAGTAAAAAAAAAACCTTTGACATTTCTGGATCCAGACATAATTTTTATTATTTTTAATAAGTCAAAGAAGTTTCCATTTCTTTTTTTTTTATGTCAAGTACCTTAGATTTCATCTCAGTAATAAACACCAAATTCAGTTTTTAAGCCTCAAGGCGAAAAAGCAATGCATGACTCAACAGAAGTATTATATCTTTCTCACCTGAGAGACTAGTCCTTGTGTGCAAGTTCATCATGTTGTTTTTAACAGTCGTCTCTCTAAATTCCTGGTTTTCTAAACTGGCTTTTATTAAGGAGGAATTCTGCTGCATATACAGTTTAACATTGATAAAACTGACTTTGACATTGGTTAGTTATATGCCACGGGCAAATTTATAAATTTCTGTGATCCTGTACAATGCAGCTAAGAACAGCTCCTCTGGACTGCTGTGGAGGTCGAAGGGGAAAAGTTAAAAGTAGCTGGCTACTGGGAGCAGTCTATAATTTTCTCTGAGTTGATGAGGGTGGAGGGGAGTGAGCACTAAATACCCGGATATGGAAGGCTTTCTTGGCAGATGCTTTGCAACCCTTACTCCTCAAAAAAAAAAAACCAAAAAAACACACTGTAGGACCTCCCCTGGTGGCGCAGGCAGTTGAGTGCAGCACTCAGAAGCTGTCCACAGCCTCTGCAGTGCTGGTTCATCCCGGCCAACCGATGAGATGCCCACATGGTGCAGCAGACCACTCCTATCTCACCTGCTGCTCCCCTCAGCAGTGTATTTTGGTCAGTCTGCCTCTTCTGTTCTCCGCTCTGTCTCTGGTGAATCCTCTCACCCTCCCGCACATCTGGCCTGTACCCCGCTTCTTGTATGCTTAAATAAATAAACCTAAAAAAAAAAAAAACCACACTGGATTCAGTTGCCCTTTTCCATTGCATTGTCTTTGTTTACCCTCAGGCTCTGATGTAGCTGCTACAACTCCGGAAAACCCGGAAAAGATGGAGGATATCAAGTTAAAATTAATGCTGGGCATCTCATTGATGACCCTCTTACTTTTTGTCATCCTTTTGGCTATCTGTAGTACCATGATTTTCAAAATGAAGGCAAAGATACCGAAGTAAGTCTGCAGACCTGAGCCTTTGCAACACGCACACTGTGGCACTGTCTCCCGCCTCTCTTTAGATTGTTAAGGAAAAGTGATGCCCAAATTTATCTGTATGGTTTTGGCTTTGCCTCCATATTCCCAGGCTCTATTCAGAAAGGAGCCTGACATTGTCTCTCAGGGAATATAGTACTTGAACATTTCCCTCAGTATTTTAAATAGTCATCTAGATAGCAATAACCCTAGTCAATGGCAAAAGATAAAAGAATCTAGACATGCATACTTCCTTTGACAGCCTTGCAGCAAAAGGGCTATGATTCTGTTGTAAATAGCACATGTGCTGAGGATCTAACACTTCATTCATTTATACCCACTACCAAAGTAACCAAAACATTACAGAATTGATACATCATTTTAACTGTTGTAATGCGTTTCTGCACTGAGCAGCCAATGGACACGAAGAATTCTTAATCTATGGTTTTCTTTTTCAGTTTGAAAAAGTCAAACAAAGAAGGCAACTATACCGTAAACCCTGAGCTGGCCAGTCGATCTTACTTTCACCCATCAGAAGGCGTATCAGACACATCTTTTTCTAAGAGTGGGGAGAGCAGCTCGTATATGGGAACCACTTCTTCAGAAATGAAAAAATCAGGCACAGGAGAGTCAAAATCCAGAACGACAGATGTGATCTCCACAGCCTCAGATGACACAGGCATGATTGATGAGTCAGACTTACCTCACGACACAGGCAGAATTGATGAGTCAGACTCTCCTCACGACACAGGCAGGATTGATGAGTCAGACTCTCCTCACGACACAGGCAGGATTGATGAGTCAGACTCTCCTCACGACAAAGGCAGGATTGATAAGTCAGACTCTCCTCACAACAAAGGCAGGATTGATAAGTCAGACTTACCTCACGACAAAGGCAGGATTGATAAGTCAGACTTACCTCACGACAAAGGCAGGATTGATGAGTCAGACTTTCCTCAGAGTGAGGAACTAGATGAAGACGTTCTCTCGGATGAGTAGACAACTTCTTTTTTGGGGGGGGTCATAAAAAAGAAATATTTCCATGTGACTCACATTAATTTCATGATTTGGAAATTCTGCTGATACATTTATACATTTCTGGTGTCTTAAGAGGACAATATATTCAATAAAATTCTCTCTGCTGTAATAATTATTTAATGGGAAAATACAAGGAGTAAGAAAACTCACCAAGAAAAAATAATGCTGATAAGTGATTTATAAAAAGTATTCATTCTAGGCTGGTTTTATTTTTATTGAAGCAATTGGCTTGTAACATTCTGTAGGTTTCGATGCAAAGTGAAATAAGTCAGAGAAAGACAAATACTGTATGATTTCACTCATGTGGAAGATAAATCAAATGAACAAACAAACACACTTACAGAGTGTTGATTTGTAAGTGGGGACATTTGAAGAGTCACCCTACATGGGAGCAACCTGAGAATTTTCAGGGTAATCACACTCACCACTCACCCTCCCTCCCAATACCAAAGCAAAAACCACACACCTGCCCATGTTTTACTGGCAAACCAGTGGTGCCCTATCAAAACAAGAAACTAAATTAGTCCTAGAGAGATGCCTAGTATTCTGGAGTGTTAAATGTCAGCAGTGATGCTCTCATAAGAAAAACAATAACACATCTCTCCCCACACCCCTTTCTGAAATATCTGTAACCATTTGTGATGACCAGGAGTTCCAGAAGAAGAAAAAGAAAGAGGGGGCCCCAGCATATAGTTTCCTAGAGAGGAATTCATGGAGGGCTCTCCCTTCCTGAATATCCAGCATCACTACGTTCTATAGGAAGAAAGAAAAAAAAAAAAAAGCAAAGAATCTGAAAGACTAATTCAAGTTAAAGGTGACATATGAGGCTATCTGTCCCAGGTGTATTTCAGTTTACAATGAAGTCTAGTGGGAGAGGCATATTGTTCCCCTTTCAGGAATTAGTTTCAACTGGAAAGATCTTAGGACAATGCATCAAATCTTTTCTGGATATGTGTGGGCATACATGCCTTCCTGAATTCTCACCTTTATGCCAGACACGTTATTACATTATATCACATTGAATGCTAGCCCTTATAAAGGGCTAGTTTACTTTGTAGAGCATGAAAGGAACACTCAGGTAAGTGAGATGAGGTAAGAAATCATCTGCTAGAGAAGGGCAAAGCTAAGTAGCATCTGCTCCCAAACTGAGGTTTTCTACGTGGCCTATGAAGATTAATAGCCACTCATAGGACATCGGTGAAAAGACACTGACTAGGAGCCAGGTAGGCCCTGGATCCAGAAGGCTGATGGGTCCTTAACTCAGAAATTCTTTCAGCTCTTGGGAAAGTGTTTTCCCTACCTCTAGCTTAACCTCTGTGAACTTTCTTCCCCAGGGAAATCAGACTCATGCTGGCTCTGACAGGCCACTTCTCCTACCATGAACTTCCAGGACTGTTAACTCACACTCTCATTTTACTTCCTAGACACCAGCCCCTGCCTTACTATTGGTTGGGAACTATGAAGCTTTGCCTTTGAGTCGCTAAGAACTACATCAGACTGTAGCCTTGGGGGACAAAAGTAGGAGCAGGGGCTCATGTCTGCCCGTGTTTGCCAATAGTGCACCCTTTCTAGACTCATGGGGGTGGTCTTGAAGAGTAGCCACACTACCTACCCCCAGCGGTTTCGTTTTGTTTGTCCCAGGCCCTTTTGACAGCCCTGGGGGTTGTCAGTATTTGTTTTGCTGTTTCAGGCACCAAGAAATTCTGTGGGAACTGAGGCAGGTAGTTGCAGCTGTTTCGAGAAAGGGCTTATTGGAAAAATATTCCAAGTGAGCTTGGAGAGGGGTGGACTACGAAGCATTCCCACCTTTTATCTCCACCCACCCTTAGGAGGTGCCAACAATGTTCTTGATTATGAAGAGGTCTGAATAAATTGAGTGAATAAAAGCATAGAACTTGCCTGTAGTATTAAAGTGTTGCAGAGTGAGAAAATTACAGCACTAGTCTGGCCAGGGTGACCACAGAGATGCTAGCTATATTTTTTAAGATTGGTTTGTCATCCTCAGTTGGCACAACTTGTAGAAACCATTGTTAACTGCAAGTGTTGGTTTGGTGGGGGCACGAGGAATGCCAGCTAGTTCTTTGGGTGTCAGCTTTCACCTGTCTCTCCTCTCCTGTAGTCTAGAAGCCAGGCGCAGACCACACATGCCAGACTGGGGTGGGAGGGGGTCAGTCTTGCCATTCTTTTCCTGTTGCCCTTCCATGCCAGCGATAAACCTGCATTTCCTGAGCAGGTTTTCTGGACCGCTCACCTGCTTCCCCAGAAAGGACATGGATGGAGCTGGAAGGGATCATGCTCAGTGAAATAAGCCAGAAAGAAAAAGAAAAATACCGGATGGTCTCACTCATAGCAGGAATTTAGAAAACCGAAATAAGGGACCAGGAAAAAGACTAATTATAATAAAGTAAAAATCAAAATCAACAAGCAACTATAGACCAGAGACACACTTAGGAGAGGAGGGATTAGGGTCAAAATAAGGGGGTGGGAATTACATGGGGAATATAACCAAGATGTAAATTTATACATTGTGCAAAAATGAAAAATGAGGTAAAAAATATAGAAAATAAAATAAAAATTAAAAATTAATAAAAATAAATATTTTTTTTAAAGAGAGGACAGAGTAAAGCCAGTTCCTTTAAAACCTGTCTTTCCTCCTTTCTCAAACACCCTATTTCCTTTCTTTGAAGCCCATAACTGCCTCTTTACCAGCCCTGAAAAGGGGGATTCAACCTGTTTTCTCCTGCTTTCAGCTCAGCTCCTATGGAGCGGTGGTTACGGGCACCAGAAAAACAAGAACTGGCCTTAGTCTGGGGAGCCAAGTTGTTCTAAAGCCCCTGTGAGTAACTGTCAGCAGCATCACACACCAAGGATGAGGACCCTAAATGCTAGTCCTCACTTCTTCCCCCTGGCAGAAAATGTTTCCAGACGTCAACCCAAATTCCCAAAAATAGATGGCTGGATCAAGAAGATGTGGTCCATATACACCATGGAATATTACTCAGCATTCAAAAAAGATAAACGCATGCAACTTGCAGCAACATGGATGGCGCTGGAAGGGATCATGCTCAGCGAAATAAGCCAGAAAGAAAAAGGAAAATACCGGATGGTCTCACTCATAGCAGGAATCTAGAAAACCTAAATAAGGGACCAGGAAAATGAAAAACTATAAGAAAGTGAAAATCAAAATCAACAAAAAACTATGAACCAGAGACACTCTATGGGGGGTGGGGGGCGGGGAGGGGAGGGCTTGGGGTCAAAATAAGGGGATTGCAATTGTATGGGGAATATAAAAATAAAATTTATTAAAAAAAAAGACAGAAGGGGGACATTCATGACTTTTTCTCCTGTATTTAAAAAGTTGTCCAGATAATAAATTATTTCTATTAAAAAGAAAAGAAAAGAAAAGAAAAGAAAATGTTTCCAGATGTGCGAGACACTGAGGATTGTCCAATGAGGAAGCTTTCTCATGGTCCTTTCGGGAAGGGCCTTTCAGTTCCTGAAACCCAGGAAGGGGGAGTCCAGGGTACGCTGGGCAGAGGGTGGCCCCGGAGGGCTTCTCCTCAGGTGGGAGAGAGGGCGCCTCCCGGCCATAGCCGAGAGCTTTGAGCGCTGGGTTGGCCCCAGGTGGGCGGCCCACGCTGCTCAGGTGTGTGGGGGCGGCCACCGTCACGTGCCCAGCAGCGGGCGGAGCTTGCCGAGGCCCTGTGGTCAGCGCCACCTGCAAACACCTGCGCCCGGAAGTGCGGGGCTCTTAAAAGGTGTGCCCAGGTGTGTTGGCGGTGAGGCGCACCTTCCCTGTCTTTTCCGCTGTAGCCTGGTTTCCTGCCACCTGTCTCCAGCGTGGCAGGACAGACCTGAGCTGGGCCCTGGGTTGGGCAGGGAGTAGCTGTCAATCTAAAGGGGCGGTTCTCAGTCCTCTCCGGCCAAAACCAGATTGTAAGTGTGCCTTCAGATGTCTGAATTAGCCCTCCAAATCTAGCTTGGGGGTGGGGGCACGGTATAGGGGGGTTTAGGGGGTATAGGGTGGTATAGGGTGGTACAGGGGGTCAGTGCATTGATATTTGCCACCCACTGCCCAAACCTCTTAAGCACACAGGCCTTAAGTAACTCAAAATGATTTCCAGAAATTGGAAACTGGCATAAAAAACACTCTGACAATATAATCTAGCTTCTGATAGAGAAAAACTTAAACTTTGAACATGGAGGGAAAGTAGCTATTTTTTTTCCATTGCACTCCCAAAGTAAGAGCCAGTTCTGAACTGTGGAAACCAAAGGAAGCCCAAGTTATGCCAAAATGCAATTCTAGCTTAATATCCAGAGTTTGTTCCTTCCTTCCAAGATTATTTAAATAGAAATTCAATCCAGGCATTTGATGTTTGTATTCTAGGATATTTCTCCAATTTGTGCCTGTTCCTTGCTGTCTCCCTCCATCAGCGTTATAGGCACATTGTTTAGGATTTCAATGGAGTTCTTAGCAGAAAGCAAAGGTAAGTTGAAAGGCCTCTGAGCCAAGACAAAGCTCATTGTGTAAAAAGGAAGCATGTGTGTGTTATCAAGGCACGCAGGTCATTAAAATAGCGTTTTTTAAACAGCATCTTGTGGACTACATGTCAGACGTGAAATTTCTTGTGTAGGAGGTGGGAGAAGTTGTAAGTTATCCCATAACTGATACAGGAAAGTGTATCTTGGAAAGAGGAAAGGAATTGTGATTTTCATAGTCAAAAGCTGCCAGGTGTTGTGAAGAACCTACTGCAGCCTTGTCTCTGGTCGCTGGGCTGCGTTTCCTCGGGATTGTGCCCAGCTGCTCTGGGTTTTGTCTTATTTGTTGATTATTTGAAGATTTTTTTTTAAATTGTTGATTGGGGTGTGGTTCTATTTATGTTTGAGGCTTTCTGTGGACTATCGGAGACCTTATTAAGAATGTAGAGACTAAGGAAAGATGAATAATTTCACTTATGACAGGAGATGTGGTAGATGAGACTACATATAGTTACGTGTAAGTGGCTTTCAGCTATTTGAACTGTTTCCCAATTGTCACTCATTGATAAATAATAAAATGATTAACATATATCCAAACTATGTCACGTTTGTCAGTTTAGTGATTATGTAGAAACCTTGCCTGTCTTGATGATGTATAGTCACTGA